TATTATATATGAAATTCCAGTCCAGTAGTTTCAGGGGAAACTAATAATGTCTTTTGAAAGACATTTGACACAATATAATCCAAAATAATGTCTTTCTGCTCACAAACTACACATAGACACATTTTTTGCTGAGGACATGGGCCTCTTTTCTCACACGTTTGTTCACGTACAAAACAAATGGTAAAGGCCACATTTTTACACTGAGTGCATTAGGGATGGGCATTCGATAAAATTTTCTTAATCGCTCGTCGGGAGAATTAACTATCGATTACTGATTAATCATTAACTTTTTTTTATATTAAAATGTATCATCATTATTATTACTATCTGCACTAATCTGCATAAATAAATTCAACTTTACAACATATAAACCGTGACCACTCTAGAGCCGCATCAGCCCGTTTGACATTATAAACTTTGCGTAACTCTCACAGAAATGAAACTTAAACTACATGGCTAATTTGCATAAACTAAGATAAGGAAAAAAAACCTGGCACAGTTGTTATTTGTGTCTCTCGTAGATGTTTTGAATAAATATGCAAAATGGGGCATCAACAAATTTCAGGTGGAGAAAATTCAAATAATTGACTGAATGTTTTATTAGAACTGAGATTTAAAACTGTGATAATAAAAGTACATTAGAGAGAAAGGACATTTTTCTGCACAGTATAAACGTTGCAATTTATACACCAATGCAACTTTTCTCAAAGATATTCAACGTGTGAACATTTACTAAAAATGTGTATATTACAAGTGAAATGAAGGTTTGCACTTGACTGTAAAAAATGTAGGGGCCAAGTAAGAGGAAAAAAAAGGACTGAATCTGTACGAGACCTTTTATCATTTATGTGGAAGACATGAATCTATCTTCAGTTCAATGTGAGGAGAACTCGTGAGACCGGCTGTAGACTGGACTGTGACCTGAAATTCCTGTTCACTTTGGTTACTAAGTATAGTTTTGTAATAAACATGCACAGGTGTGTGTCTGAGAGGGTTTGTTGTTCTTCTGTGTAATGTAAAAACATTTATACCCTTATTTATGGAAAACAAAAAAGAAAAGAAAAAGCCCTCAGAAGTTTTATACCTGGTGCACTCTCAAAGACACAAGAGCAGGGAGCAGAGTCACGTGACCACATGAAAGTCATAAATCATAAATGAATCTTAAATTATTCTGATGAAACATGATTACATTACACAACATGGCTGTTATTTTACAGAGTAACAGAGCACATAGACTTTTCCGTATCTGCAATAACTGGACGTCTTGTTTGCTTTTCACCTTCTTATATCATCAGAAATGGTCCCTGGAGATTTGTGTGAAAAATATACTGTAAAACCCTGGAACATTTACTGATACTGGCAGTTTAAATGATGTGAAATTGACAAAATGGGAAACAAGATGTGTTCTAATGTGCAGCTAAATCACTTATGTCAGTGTATAAACACACAAAAAACACTGATTTAATTTAAGTTTGTGATTTTATTTTCTACAATCCACATTTCTAAGCTGTCAATTTACATTAAGCAAATTAACAGAGACAATGATTGAATCATTCAAATAAAGCAAATAAAAATACCCAATATTGATGTAAAAATAAATTCATAGCTTAATTAATGTACAATTTGATTAGCTGCAGAAATCCACTTTTCGTCAGTGTTGAAGCTTTGTAAATCCAGTAAAGGTCTCCAGCTTTCTTCTACCTTTGATAATGTTTACATTCTAATGTGCAACAATAATCCATGATCTCTGAAACTGATAAAGTTTGTTAAATAAAGCCTTTCATAGGGGGTTAAAGATATTTAGATGTGTCTGGTGGCTCTGTCTGGATACGGCTTTCAGTATTTTTGACACAAATTTTAGCTGGTGCCTGCTTTGTGATCCAGGAACACTCCCACTCTGCTGGACTCACAGGGCAACAGGACTGTTCTGCCTCCTCTGTTGTCTGTGCCTCTTTTACACAGGTGACTTTTGTCTTGTTTTTAGACAGTGTCAGGTGCTCATTGGCTGTGTCTGACACAAGTTGGACATTTTGGATTCCCAAGAACCATCTTTTGTCCCAAAGGTGTGAATACTTGAGCCCATGTGTATTTTTTGTAACAGAAATTTTGGTACATTTTGAAAGTCATGTAAAGTTGGCAGATTGATTCTGTCAGACAACTCACCACATTTAGAAGAGGTGGAACGTTTCTCCAGAAACATTTTGTAACTGTCTGTATGCAAGAGCTTTAACCGATTGATGCTGTTCCAGCCTCTTCTTCTGGACATCTTTGTCCCTCTCTTTCAACATCAATAATTCCTGGCCCTTATGGCTCTCAGAGATTTGCTGCCATCTAATTTTGACTGTCATCTCTGAACTCTTTAATGTCTTTAATTAACGCCGTCACTTCAGCAGTCATTTTCTCATTTTCACTCACCAGTTGATCAGCTGTCTTGACCAGGTCTTGTAGCTTTTGATGGAGCAGAACTATGTCCTTCTCGATCTCCTGAATAACACGGTCTGTTCTCTGCTGACCAGTCTCCATCTGCTTTCTCCTGTGTCTCATCTCTTTCTCTACAGACACTGTGTCATGGCCTTTATGTTTGCTCAGGAGGCAGAGGTAACAGATGAACTGCTGCTCTGTCCGGCAGAAGATCTTCTTTTCCTCATTGTGCTGAGAACAAATATTATCCTGTTTACTCCCACGTGAGTCTAGGAGCCTTTGCTTCTCTGGCGGTTGGTCACTGGAATCTGCTGCAGGAGATTTGAAAGCAGTTCGTTTTCTTAAAGTGCCCATGCCACTTGCCACATCCTTAGTCTTCTTTAGGTCTTCCTCTAAATCTACCAGCATCATGTTCCTTTTCAAAGGAGGTTTTTTGGAGAAGGTTCCCCTACACATTGGACAGCTTACAGACTGCTGTTGAGTCATTTTCTCATGAGCCCAGAGTTTCACAATACAGTTCAGGCAGAAGTTGTGTCCACAGGGAATGGTCAGTGGTTCTGAACAGAAGGAACAGGAAAGTTTGTTTGGATTTATCAAGACTTCTTGTTGTTCCATTGTCTCTGTGTCCCTGACTGACACTGTGTCACTGAGCGGCAGTGTTTTTAATAACATGTAAGGAAGGCGTGGTTTTCATGTAAATAGATTCACAGGCCCGTCCTGCACTGTAGCTCTGACTCTCAGACTGAACAGAACAGAAACAAATACAAGAAAAGGAGCAGTGCATGAAAAGATGTCATCAAAACCAAAGATAAATATTTCTGTAAATGTTTCAGAATTTGTCACCGAGGTTATTTCTCATGTACAGTCCCTGGACAGAAGGGAAACATGGTCACAATAAAACAAAACACAAAAAAATCTCATAAAATACAGTATGGTGTCTGATCAGTGAATAGTTTTGGTTACTCACTGATACCAACACCAGTGTCATACGAGCACAACCTTATTTACGATTGTGCAGGGGGTGAACTTCCTTATTCCAAGAGTTCTATAATACAATTCAACCAAAGAGAGAAAGTATTTGTAGTTTTATTGAATGAGTCATGTCAGACCCTGGCAGAAGTAATTTATCTGAAGTAAATTATTTGTTCAATTTTCTGTAGGCGACAAAACTTTTGTCTTGCCAAAATCTGACCTTTCTGTGTTCATTAAATGATCAATCTTTCTTCAGTGAAGCAAATTTGTTTTAGTATATTGAGCATAATTAGGGAGGGTTTTAGCTTCATATGAGACATTTCTAAAACCAATCGATTAATTTAAAGTCAGGTTATAAGCTTTTGTTTCTACAAAATGGATAAGCGACAAGACTTTTGTCAGGGACTGTATTTAAGAGAGTAAAAATGACGTTTTGGTTTTCTTAGAAGAAAACACTCTACTAACAGAGCTAATGTAACCCTAACCCAGTAATCAAAACTGGCACAGTTGTTATTTGTGTCTCTCATAGATGTTTTGAATAAATATGCAAAATGGGGCATCAACAAATTTCAGGTGGAGAAAATTCAAATAATTGACTGAATGTTTTATTTATGAGCTATGAGATTTAAAACTGTGATAATGAAGGAAATTAGAGACGAAAGACATTTTTGCACAGTATAACTTTATACACCAATACAGCTTTTTCTCAGAGATATTTTACATTTCATCATATTTTCATTATTTTTTATTTTTCATTATCATTTCATCATATACATCATATTTTACCTTTACTCAAATGTGTATATTACAAGCTAAATGATGTTTTGCACTTAACTGTAAAAAATGTAGGAGGCCAAGTATTGGACAATGGGCTAAACAGGTGTCGGCAGATTTAGCTTTGGAGCTGACAGTGTGTCTCCTAAGAGGAAAAAACCTGAATCTCTTAGACCTTTTATGACTTATGTGGAAGACATGTATCTTTCTTAAATTTAATGTGAGGAGAACTCGTGAGACCGGCTGTAGACTGGACTGTGACCTGAAATTCCTGTTCACTTTGGTTACTAATTATAGTTTTGTAATAAACATGCACAGGTGTGTGTCTGAGATTGTTCATCGGTATAATATAAAAACATTTATATGTATATTTCTGGGGAAAAAAAAGAAAAAGAAAAAGCCCTCAGAAGTTTTATAGCTGGTGCACTCTCACAGACACAAGAGCAGGGAGCAGAGTCACGTGACCACATCAGACAGAGACTCCTTAAATGAAAGTCATAAATCATAAATGAATCTTAAATTATTCTGATTAAACATTACATTACACAACATGGCTGTTATTTTACAGAGTAATAAAGCACATAGACTTCGCCTTAACTGAAATAACTGGACGTCTTGTTTACTTTTCACCTTCTTATATCATCAGAAATGGTCCCTGGAGATTTGTGTGAAAATATACTGTAAAACCCTGGAACATTTACTGATACTGGCAGTTTAAATGATGTGAAATTGATAAAATGGGAAACAAGATGTGTTCTAATGTGCAGCTAAATCACTTATGTCAGTGTATAAACACACAAAAAACACTGATTTAATTTAAGTTTGTGATTTTATTTTCTACAATCCACATTTCTAAGCTGTCAATTTACATTAAGCAAATTAACAGAGACAATGATTGAATCATTCAAATAAAGCAAATAAAAATACCCAATACTGATGTAAAAATAAATTCATAGCTTAATTAATGTACAGTTTGATTAGCTGCAGAAATCCATTTTTCGTCAGTGTTGAAGCTTTGTAAATCCAGTAAAGGTCTCCAGCTTTCTTCTACCTTTGATAATGTTTACATTCTGGTGCACAACAATAATCCATGATCTCTGAAACTGATAAAGTTTGTTAAATAAAGCCTTTCATAGTGGATTAAAGATATTTAGTTGTGTCTGGTGGCTCTGTCTTGATGCTGCTCTCAGTATTTTTGACAGAAATTTTAGCTGTTGCCCCATAGTAATAAACCCCCAGTCCAGCGTAGAGCGGCTGGGTGAACCTGGTCTGGACTTTATGGATGAGTTTATTGGTCTGAGAGACTTGGTAAAAACACAGAGTGCCTGCTTTGTGATCCAGGAACACTCCCACTCTGTTGGACTCACAGGCAAACAGGGTTCTTCTGCCTTGTTTGTGTCTGTAGACGTAGCCCTCTGTGGTGGAACAGTCAAGCACCCAAGACTTGTCATTGTTCCCAAAGCCACTGTCTGGTCCATCTCTCTTAATATCATTGTACGCCACTCCAACAGAAACCCCCAGTCCACTCCATTCCACCTCCCAGTAGCAGCGGTCAGGAAGAGGACCAGCGGTCAGAACTTGAGCTTTGCTTCGGAATCGGTCCAGAAAAGGCGGGTATGGCTGTGCCTCTTTTACACAGGTGACTTTTGTCTTGTTTTCAGACAGTGTCAGGTGCTCATTGGCTGTGTCTGGATCTAACACAAGTAGAACTGAATAATTACAGAATTCCTCATTTGTTTTTGGACATTGAACCACCTTTTGTCCCAAAGGTGTGAATACTTGAGCCCATGTGTCATTAAGCTTATGTATTTCTTGTGACAGAACTTTTGTTACATTTTGAAAGTCATGTAAAGTTGGCAGATTGATTCTGTCAGACAACTCACCACATTTAGAAGAGGTGGAACATTTCTCCAGAAACTTTTTGTAACTGTCTGTATGCAAGAGCTTTAACCGATTGATGCTTTCCAGCCTCTTCTTCTGGACATCTTTGTCCTTCTCTTTCAACATCAATAATTCCTGGATCTTAAGGCTTTCATAAGTTTGTTGTCGTCTTATTTTGACTGTCAACTCTGAACTCATGTTTTTAATGAGCGCCATCACTTCAGAAGACATTTTCTCATTTTCACTCACCAATTGATCAGCTGTCTTGTCCAGGTCTTGTAGTTTTTGATGGAGCAGAACTATTTCCTTCTCGATCTCCTGAATAACACTATCTGTTCTCTGCCGCTCGGCCTCCATCTGCTTTCTCCTGTGTCTCATCTCTTCCTCTGCAGACACTGCGTCATGGCCTTTATGTTTGTCCAGGAGGCAGAGGTAACAGATGAACTGCTGCTCTGTCCGGCAAAAGATCTTCATTTCCTCATTGTGCTGAGAACACATATTATCCTGTTTACTCCCACATGAGTCTAGGAGCCTTTGCTTTTCTGGCGGTTGGTCACAGGAATCTGCTACAGGAGGTTTGGAAGAGCTTCGTTTTGTTGCCACGTCTTTAGTCTTCTTTAAATCTTCCAGTAAATCTGCCAGCACCGTGTTCTTTGTCAAAGGAGGTTTTCTAGAGAATATTTTCTTACACGTTGGACAGCTTACATGCTGCTGTTTAGTCTTTCTCTCATTATCCCAGTGTTTTCTAATACAGCTCAGGCAGAAGTTGTGTCCACAGGGAATGGTCACCGGTTCCTTTAGTAGTTCTGAACAAATGGAACAGGAAAGTTTGTCTGCATTTATCCGGACTTCTTGTTGTGCCATTGTCTCTCTCTGTGTCCCTGACTGACACTGTGTCACTGGGCGGCAGTGTTTTTAATAACATGTAAGGAAGGCGTGGTTTTTATGTAAATAGATTCACAGGCCCGTCCTGCACTGTAGCTCTGACTCTCAGACTGAACAGAACAGAAACAAATACAAGAAATGGAGCAGTGCATGAAAAGATGTCATCAAAACCAAAGATAAATATTTCTGTAAATGTATCAGAATTTGTCACAGAGGTTATTTTTCATCTACAGTCCCTGGACAGATGAAACATGGTCACAATAAAACACAACAAGAAGAATTATACCATTGCAACCATTATAAACCAGATAAACAATAAAAATATGTATGATATCTGATCAGTGAATAGTTTTGGTTACTCACTGATACCAACACCAGTGTCATACGAGCACAACCTTATTTAAGATTGTGCAGGGGGTGAACTTCCTTATTCCAAGAGTTCTATAATACAATTCAACCAAAGAGAGAAAGTATTTGTAGTTTTATTGAATGAGTCATGTCAGACCCTGGCAGAAGACATTGTGATGACGGTCGTGACAGATTAGACAGTGTTTAGGACCACTGGGCCTGGACACTGGAGGTAGCAGCAGTGAACATAATAAAACATAGTAAAACATAGTAAAACATAGTACATTATTGTGAGCAAAAAGGAGCACAAATGGACAGGGTGTTGGACTTTTAACACACTGACAGACTACGTCAAACTTATCGTGGAAAGTCCTGTTGGCGTAGTCATGTGCATTCCTCTTTAATAACATAATGATCAAACAATTAACTTAATACGTAACTTTATTATATCATCATTATAAGTTCAAAGTTTATTGTCAATTCTTCATACAAAGATCATACAAAGAATCAAAATTATGTTTCTCACTATCCCATGTGCAGTAAATAAATTATGAGTGATTAACAGTGCAAAAGGCAAAAGATATCTTTAAAGTATAAAAAGTATATATAAGTATAATTCATTGATAAGTATGTGGAATGATATTTGGGTACATGACGTGTGGGGGTGTAATGTATTTTTTCTGATCTACTGTGACGCGCCTTTGTAGCAAAATCCACACATTTTTTTCCAAAACAAATCAGATTTACAACAGTTGTCACATTTTTGTGTAACTTTTTTAATATGACACATTTTAACATTCCCAGCGGTGGGACCTCTCCTGTCACCCCACTGGATATTCACTCTACATTTGTCATGTCAAACAATTCTAATAAATGACTTAACATGTCTGTAGTGTCTGTGGATGTAGCTTTTGAGTCTGTGGGTTTATTTTTTCTTATTCTGGCACTGAAGCGCACAGAGATGGTCATCAGTCCCAAACACAGTCTCAGGTCCATCTCGTTCAGTGTCCCTATAGACCACGCCGTCATAGAGCTACAGTCCAGTCCATCCACCTCCCAGTAACGGTCAGAGGGACGTGGGTTCATGCTCAGCACTGGTGCTTTGCATAAACTGGTCTGGATGTGGATGATTTTTTCAGACAATACAAGTGCCTCATTGGCTTGGTCCCAGTGTTTGCTCATGTGTCCACAGTGACTGTCCATCAGATTCTTCAGTAGTTCTGATTAGCAAATACATTAGAGAAAATACTTCTTTTTTTCATTCTAAAACATTACTGCTCACCACCAGTGTTGTCAAAGTTTTCAGCTTGTCCAAGAAAGAGTGGAAATAAACATCTGGAGACCAACTGGAGTCTTAAGCAGGAGAAGTTTATTTACCATCAATAATACAGGCCCGGGTTCAAAAGTCAACATAGTGTGATCAACACTAGTATTGAGTGATAATAGACATAGACAGGAAATATGCCAAGTTTGAGATAATTAAATGAATCATATCATAAATTATTAAATACTTTATTAATTATTGATTATATTATTATTGAATGTGAATAATCATAATTATTCTGGGAGGGTGTATTTCACATGGAAGTTACTTAATAATAATAATAATAATAACAATAATAATAATAATTGCCCATTCAAGTACTAACAAGGCCTGGCCCTGCTGAGCTTCTCTGATCTGACTGGATCAGACTTGTTGGACTTGTTTGGAGAGTTCAGTTGTTGCCCTCGTCCCATTTGGCTGCTTTCAGTGGTTTGCACACTGAGCAGTTTTTAAACCATAAATTTTTGACCTACACGTCTGCAATTACTTCACTTTTTCACCTGATCAAGCACCCAGACATGAAAATCATAAAAGGAACCTGTAACCCACTTATTTTCAGTTACCAAAACAAAGCAAAACAAAAAAACACACTAGTGTGTTTGGTACATGTTATTTTTATAATAGTATTTCAACACTCTGATCATAATTAATAGCTGTTTTAATAAATTTTTTGTCAATTTATCAATGACTGAAACTGTACTTTCAGTAATTCCACCAACCTGCTCAGGGACTACAGGTGTAAATTAGCATTTGTGCTATAATCTGGCACCAGCAATTTATTGTTGTGTTCCTGTACAAATAAAAAGCAGACCATACCAATTTTGTGTGGACTTAAGAAAACAGAAAACAAAACTTTATTTCAAGACCCTAAATAAAGTTTAGGGTTTTCAGCTGCACCCAGGATTGCTCAGTCTATCATTGGAAACTCAGTATTTTGGGATTTTGACCAAAGAAGTGCAGCTTGTGTGGTTCAAGGACAGAAGTTAAGGACAGTTGGATCTGCTTGGTTTATCCTACCTGAGCACTCCTCACTTTTAGCTGCACTGAGACCTGTGTTTGAGCTTTTCTGTTGTTTTATTTAACTGCTTCATGTGCTTAAATTGTTGATATGTTGATATTTTTACTCTTACATAAAATAAAATGACCTATCCTGAGTTTTGTGTCATATGCAAGAGCAGTTCCAGTGTCATAATTTATTTATTTAGTTTAATTCTTCTTGCACTTTGACGGATCAGCTCTGAATTTTATTATACTGTATAATGACAACAAAGACTTTCTATTCTATTCTATTCTATTCTATAAAATGCTTTAAAAACATCATCAAAACTGCATGAACCTGTCTTTCAGGAGTTTATAATTACAAGAAAAGCTCCAGGTAATTCCATTTACAGGAAATGGCCACAGTCAAATGAAATAGAAACTTAAGGAGAATAAACACTCATCTTTAACAACCTTAGACTTAAACTTTATTGATCCACAAGGGAAATTACTTGGACACAGGAGCTCAGACATCACAATATAATATAATAACAAAGAGTAAAACATATAAATGGTAATAATAAATTCTAAAAAGGAACAAAAATTAAATAAGGTATAATTATATAAATGTATCAAAATATAAAATATATAAAAGCAGCAGCACTTATTTGGGCAGGGTGATAAATAAAGCCTCTTAAAGGGAGTTTTAGGTTAAAGATTGTTTGGTGTGTCTGGTGGCTCAGACTTGATGCTTCTCTCTTTGACACACATTTCAGCTGTTACCCCATAATAATAAACCCCCAGTCCAGCGTAGAGCGGCTGGGTGAACCTGGTCTGGACTTTATGGATGAGTTTATTGGTCTGAGAGACTTGGTAAAAACACAGAGTGCCTGCTTTGTGATCCAGGAACACTCCCACTCTGCTGGACTCACAGGGCGACAGGAATGTTCTGCCTTGTTTGTGTCTGTAGACGTAGCCCTCTGTGGTGGAACAGTCAAGCACCCAAGACTTGTCATTGTTCCCAAAGCCACTGTCTGGTCCTTCTCTCTTAATATCATTGTACGCCACTCCAACAGAAACTCCCAGTCCACTCCATTCCACTCTTATCATATTTTATTATTATTATAATTATAATAATAATATAATAATATTTATTATTATTATTCTTATATTATTAATTTTGAATGTGAGTAATCATAATTATTCTGGGAGGGTGTATTTCTCACGGGAGTTACTTAATAATAATAATAACAATAATAATAACCATAACAATAATAATAATAATTGCCCATTCAAGTACTAACAAGGCCTGGCCCTGCTGAGCTTCTCTGATCTGACTGGATCAGACTTGTTGGACTTGTTTGGAGAGTTCAGTTGTTGCCCTCGTCCCATTTGGCTGCTTTCAGTGGTTTGCACACTGAGCAGTTTTTAAACCACAAAATTCTGACCTACATGTCTGCAATTATTTCTTCTATCTTCAGATCAATGTGAGGAGAACTCGTGAGACTGGCTGTAGACTGGACTGTGACCTGAAATTCCTGTTCACTTTGGTTACTAATTATAGTTTTGTAATAAACATGCACAGGTGTGTGTCTGAGAGATTGTTCTTCTGTGTAATGTAAAAAAAAAATGTATACATATATTGTTGAAAAAAAAAGAAAAAGCCCTCAGAAGTTTTATAGCTGGTGCACTCTCACCGACACAAGAGCAGGGAGCAGAGTCACGTGACCACATCAGACAGAGACTCCTTAAATGAAAGTCATAAATCATGAATGAATGTTAAATTATTCTGATTAAACATTACATTACACAACATGGCTGTTATTTTACAGAGTAATAAAGCACATAGACTTCACCTTAACTGAAATAACTGGACGTCTTGTTTACTTTTCACCTTCTTATATCATCAGAAATGGTTCCTGGAGATTTGTGTGAAAAATATACTGTAAAGCTCTGGAACATTTACTGATACTGGCAGTTTAATAGACACTGTATAAAAAAAACAAAAAAACTTGCCCCCTGCTGTATGCAGTCAGTAGTGCATGCACGAAAATGAGACACAGCTGTACACAAGCCCAAGGAGTGGTTCAACTGGAGCATGCAACCTAGTTAAAGCTGTGAGGTACAGGCATCTTTAGGTACCGGTTTTAAAAAGACCCCCCTTTTAGAAATACTATTAAATGATGTGAAATTGATAAAATGGGAAACAAGATGTGTTCTAATGTGCAGATGTTGTAGCCTCACAGCTAAATCACTTATGTCAATGTATAAACACACAAAAAACACTGATTTAATTTAAGTTTGTGATTTTATTTTCTACAATCCACATTTCTAAGATGTCAGTTTACATTAAGCAAAATAACAGAGACAAATGGTTGAATCATTCAAATAAAGCAAATAAAAATCCCCAATACTGATGTAAAAATAAATTCATAGCTTAATTAATGTACAGTTGATTAGCTGCAGAAATCCACTTTTCCCGTCAATCTTGAAGTTTTGTAAATCTAGTAAAGGTCTCTGGCTTTCTTCTACTTTTGATAATGTTTACATTCTAATGTACAACAATAATCCATGATCTCTGAAACTCTGATAAAGTTTGTTAAATAAAACCTTTCATAGGGGGTTGTCCGTTAAAGATATTTAGTTGTGTATGGTGGCTCTGTCTTGATGCTGCTCTCTTTGACACACATTTTAGCTGTTACCCCATAATAATAAACCCCCAGTCCAGCGTAGAGCGGCTGGGTGAATCCTGGCTCAAATTTACGGATGAGTTTATTGGTCTGAGAGACTTGGTAAAAACACAGAGTGCCTGCTTTGTGATCCAGGAACACTCCCACTCTGTTGGACTCACAGGGCGACAGGAATGTTATGTCTCCTCTGTTTTTGTAGACGTAGCCCTTTTTGGTAGAACATTCAAGCACCCAAGACTTGTCATCGTTCCCAAACAAACTGTCTGGTCCTTCTCTTTTAATATCATTGTACGCCACTCCAACAGAAACCCCCAGTCCACTCCATTCCACCTCCCAGTAGCAGCGGTCAGGAAGAGGATCAGTGGTCAGAACTTGAGCTTTGCTCAGGAATCGGTCCATAAAAGGGAAGTATGGCTGTGCCTCTTTTACGTAGGTGACTCTTGTTTTGTTTTCAGACAGTGTCAGGTGCTCATTGGCTGTGTTTGGATCTAACATAAGTGGAACTGAATAATTACAGAATTCCTCATTTGTTTTTGGACATTGTGGGTTCCCAAGAAGCATCTTTGGTCCCATCTTTGGGTGGGTGGGTTCCCAAGAACCTTCTTTGGTGAATAATTGAGTGCAAGTGTCTTTAAATTTATGTATTTCTTGTAATAGACGTTTTGTTACATTTTGAAAGTCATGTAAAGTTGGCAGGCTGATTCTGTCAGACAACTCACCACATTCAGAAGAGGTGGGACAATTGTCCAGAAACTGTTCGTAACTGTCTTTATGCAAAAGCTGCTGATTGCTGCTTTCCAGCCTCTTCTTCTGGACATCTTTCTCCCTCAATAATTCCTTGAGCTTAAGGCTCTCAGAGATTTGTTGTTGTCTTATTTTGTCTGTCAACTTTAAACTCATGTCTTTAAAGAGCATTGCCATTTTCTCATTTTCTCTCACCAGTTGATCAGCTGTCTTGTCCAGGTCTTGTAGCTTTTGTTGGAGCAGAACTATGTCCTTCTCGATCTCCTGAATAACATGGTCTTTTCTGTGCCGCTCGGCTTCCATCTGCTTTCTCCTGTGTCTCATCTCTTCCTCTACAGACACTGTGTCATGGCCTTTATGTTTGCCCAGGTGGCAGAGGTAACAGATGAACTGCTGGTCTGTCCGGCAGAAGATCTTCTTTTCCTCATTGTGCTGAAAACACATATTATCCTGTTGGGTCCCGCATGAGTCTAGGAGCCTTTGCTTCTCTGGTGGTTGGTCACGGAAATCTGCTACAGGAGGTTTGGAAGATTGTTTGTTTTGGAAAATTCTTCGTTTTGTGCCCATGCCACTGGCCACAGCCTTAGTCTTCTTTAAATCTTTCACTAAATCTGCCAGCAACATGTTCTTTGTCCAAGGAGTTTTTTTGGGGAAGGTTTTCCAACATATTGGACAGCTTACATACTGCTGTTTAGTCTTTCTCTCATTATCCCAGTGTTTTCTAATACAGCTCTGGCAGAAGTTGTGTCCACAGGGAATAATAACCGGTTCCTTCAGTAGTTCTGAACAGATGAAACAGGAGAATTTCTCTTGATCTGACCGGACTTCTTGTTGTGCCATTGTCTCTCTGTGTCCCTGACTGACACTGTGTCACTGAGCGGCAGTGTTTTTAATGACATGTAAGGAAGGCGTGGTTTTCATGTAAATAGATTCACAGGCCCATCCTGCACTGTAGCTCTGACTCTCAGACTGAACAGAACAGAAACAAATACAAGAAATGGAGAAGCGCATGAAAAGATGTCATCAAAAACAAAGATAAATATTTCTGTAAATGTATCAGAATTTGCCACAGAGGTTATTTCTCATGTACAGTCCCTGAACAGATGAAACATGGTCACAATAAAACACAACAAGAAGAATTATACCATTGCAGCCATTATAAACCAGATAAACAATAAAAAAATCTCATAAAATACAGTATGGTGTCTGATCAGTGAATAGTTTTGGTGACTCACTGATACCAACACCAGTGTCATACGAGCACAACCTTATTTAAGATTGAAATAGAAACTTGAAGAGAATAATCACCTTAACCTCACCTTAAACAACCTTAGACTTAGACCTAAACTTTATTGGGATGGGGTGTTGGACTGTTAAAACACTGGCAGACTACGTCAAACTTATAGTGGAAATTCCTGTTGGCGTAGTCATGTGCATTCCTCTTTAATAACATAATGATCAAACAATTAACTTAATAACTTTATTATATCATTGTTAACTATAAGTTCAAAGTTTATTGTCAATTCTTTGTACAAAGATCATACAAAGAATCTAAATTATGTTTCTCACTATCCCATGTGTAATGAATAAATAAATAAATAATAAATGTTAAATAATGCAAATTGCAAAAGTAAATATATATAAATATAATTAATTCATAATTATCTGGAATGATATTTGGGTACATGACGTGTGGGGGTGTAACGTCTTTTTTTTTTCTGACCTGCAGTGACGCACCTTTGTAGCAACATCTGTAAATTTTTTTCCAATACAAATCAGTTTTACAACAATTGTAAAAAAGCCTTTTCACAAACATCAAACATTTTTGTGTAACTCTTTTAATATTACACATTTTGTGTAATTCAGTGTATTTCTCATACACTGAAGTAATAATAATAATAATGATGATACTAATACTTATTATTATTATCATAATTATAATAATAGCAGCGTTTTTGTGGATACTCAAATACACTTTATGACCACTAAATGGTCACATTTTTTCTATAGCGCTTTTCCACCTTCAAGGCACTCAAAGCGCTTTACAACAAGGAACCACTCACCCATTCACACACACATTCATACACCAGTGTACGCAGACACTGTGGGCAAGGTGGGTTAAGTGTCTTGCCCAAGGACACAACAACAGCAACAGCATTCATCTGTGGGAGCTGGAATCACACCAGCCAACCTGTGGGTCAGTGGTTCTGACCACTCAACCTGTGATGTTTTATGTTGAGAGCTGGATTCGAACCACCAACCTTCAGATCAGTGGGCGAATGCTCTTCCAACTGAGCTACTGCCGCCTCATTATTGTTATTCATTCACTCTATACCTGGTGGTTGTAAGTCACCATTGTAGCCACAGCTGCCCTGGGGCAGACTGACGGAAGTGAGGGTGTCAATCTGCACCATCGGCCCCTCCTGCCAACACCATCACTCATGTCACCCCACTTTCATACTAGGCAATGTGGGTGAAGTGTTTTGCCTAAAGACACAATGACAGTTTTTGTGACTGGTGCCTCCTGTGGCTCCTGATTGTCCCTGTGTCTCCCATCCAAGTTCTGACCAGACTCAGCCTTGCTGAGCTTCTGAGATCTGACGGGGTCAGACTTGTTGGACTTGTTTGGGGAGTTCAGTGGTTGCCCTCGTCCCATTTGGCTGCTGACGTACATGTCTGACCTACATGTCTGCAATTATTTCACTTTGTCACCTAATCAAGCACCCAGACATGTAAATCATAAAAGGAAACTGTAACCCACTTATTTTCAGTTACAAAAACAAAACAAAAACGTTCTGAGGTAAATCAGAATCACAAATGATAAAAAGAATTACCGTATTTTCTGGACGAAAGAGCGCACCTGTATAAAAGCCGCATCCGCTCTGTTTTTAAAAATAACGATATACAAGCCGCACCAGGCTATAAGCCGCAGATATCTATGTTGAAAAATTTGATATTTACTGCATGTACAGAACGATTTTGTACTGTAAATGTACATGTATGTACCTGAACAGATTCTTTAAACAGTGTCTTTTAACACGGCAACAGCTTTGCTAATTAAAACGGAACAGAACCAAGAGAAAATAACCGGTATTTATTTACCTTAATTTCTCTTGTGTTTGAAACCACAAGTCACTTTAATCATCTTCGCTGAAACCCATGAAGTCCTCTTCTTCAGTTTCGGAGTTGAACAGCCTCAGAAGCGCTTCGTCACATCTGTCTCCATCAGTTTCGCTCTCCGTGCCACTGTCATCCTCCGGTGAAGTTGGCTCTGAAGGGACGCCGTTCTCTTCGCATAGTAGTCCAGCCTTTCGGAACCCCTTGGTGATGGTGGATTCTTTCACAGCACTCCACGCTGTTAGGATCCACTGACAGACATCAGAAAAGGATGCTTTTCGCATGCGGCCAGTTTTTGTGAATGACTTTTCGCCACTTGTCATCCAAGTCTCCCACTCAACCCGGAGAGCGGCTTTAAATGCCCGATTCACACTGATGTCAAGTGGCTGCAAATACTTTGTTGTACCTCCAGGAATCACAGCTGGAATGGAGTTTGTTTTCTTGATCGCTGCTTTCACAGAATCTGTGATGTGGGCCCTCATGCTATCCAAAACAAGCAGCGCTTTTTTCTGGTGAAAAAATCCTCCCGAGCGCTTGCCGTAGCACTCCGTTAACCATTCCTTCATTTGGCCTTCCATCATCCACCCTTTGGTATTAACTTTGACCACAATGCCTTTCGGAAGTTGTTCTTTCGGCATAGTTATCCGCTTAAAAATCACCATTGGAGGAAGTTTTTGTCCGGATGCCGTGCATGCCAGAACGCAGGTGAAGTGCGTTCTCTCGTGGCCAGTTGTTTTCAACAACACGGATGATGCACCTGTCTTGTTAACAGTCCTGGTTAGAGGCAGATCAAACGTCAAAGGTACTTCATCCATATTTATGATGTCGTCTGGTCTGATGGAGTTTTCTTGTATCTTTGTTTCAACGAATTTGTGGAAATTTTCAACTTTTTCCTGATAGTCAGCGGGGAGTTGCTGACAGAGAGTGGTCCGTGCCCTAATGGACAGGTTTTTACGTCTCATAAATCGGAAACACCATGACGACCCAGCTTTAAAATCTTCAAAATTCATTTCGCGGGCAATTGTTTTGGCTTTCAGTCGGATCTGTACAGTGGATACACCTTGGCCACCTGCTCTCTGTGTGTTCACCCAGTCCTCCAGGACATTTTCAAGTTCAGGCCACCTGCTTTTATGTCCTCTGAAAGCCTTTTTTGACTTTTGGCATTGTATGAGCTCTTCACGCTGACGCCTCCATCGTCTCACCATAGATTCATTGATGCTAAGCTTGCGTGCAGCAGCGCGGTTTCCTTCCTGGATAGCAAGATCGATGGCCTTCAGCTTAAAACGTGCATCATACGAACTTCTTCGTGCCATTTCCATGATGAAGGAGCGAGGATTTTAAAATAATTACTAATTGGTAATTTCTCGTGCGTGTTCTATCTGCTGAAGAAAAAGTACCGTATTCTTCTTTGCATTGATTTTTCGTCTATCTTATTTTTTATTCTAATTCCGGTTAGAGCGCCCCTAGCGGTGGAAGAAAAATCCACAGAATAGCCGCACCTTTATTTAAGCCTCATGGTTCAAAATCTAGGGAAAAAGTAGCGGCTTTTCGTCCAGAAAATACGGTACTTATATATTAAGTGGGAAAAAAACTGAGGCACTCAAAAAGTACAAAATAATTAAAAGCCTTTAATACCACATGGCAGATAAAGTTCAAATACGCCAACGCGTTTCGGCCCTTCGGCCTTCATCAGGGCAAACTCGAGATGGTTATCACAGAGCAGATTTAAAGTAATAGGTGTAGGTCACATGTTCACAGTGGGCTGGCCCACAGTCCCCTAGATGCATGATGGGACATGTAGGCCTAACAAACCTTAATTATAGGCTAAACAAATTCAAATACAATAATACAAGACATAAATGGTGCAAATCCCAACAACCAATACATAGAAAGATACATTATATGAAAATAGTATAAAAGTATAAAAAGATACATAGTGTAAGGATATATATAGAGTGCGATAACTCAAAAGTGCTTCAGCTATAGTTTGTATAATATATTTAAGGGCTAGTCTTAAATAATTTCAAGAAGACAGGGATATAGAACAAGGATCGATTACACATTTAAAGCTTGTAGTTTTAAAGGAAGGGGGAGAAATCTAACTCTCCATTGAGTCCTGGAAACTGTGTGGCCTTGAGAGTGTAGATCCAGGTTTCTCTCTGTAATAGTTTTTTCAGTCTATCTCCTCCTCTTATTGTTTCTTTAATATGTTCAGTTGCACAGACTTTTAGGCTTTTACAGCTGCCATGGTTGACTTCTCTGTAATGCACGGCCAGAGGATACAGGGGGTTATATGTCCTTATAGCCTGTTTATGTTCAGCCAGTCTGTTTTTCAATTTGCATTTTGTTCGGCCTACGTAAAAACGACCACATGGGCATTCAAGTCTCTATACTACATAGGTAGTGTTACAATTAATTAATGTTCTAATATATAAACTTTGACCTGAGTTAATGTCCATGAATAAGTTCGTCTGTTGTACATGTTCACAAAACGTGCAGTTACCACATCTGTAGCAACCAGCCTTAGTGTCCAACCATGTCTTTTGTTTCAAAGCAGGGAGAGAACTGTTCACTCGTCGATCACTGAGCGTAGGGGCTTTTCTAAAGGTGATGGTGGGGGTCTCTGGGAGAGCGTCTCTTAGGGTGCTGTCGCTTCTTAATATACTCCAGTTCTGTTTGATTATTTGTTTGATTCGGTTTGCTTCAGTGCCATATTCAGTTACAAAATA